TTTTTTTTTTTTTTTTAAAGATTTTATTATTTATTTGACAGAGAGAGACACACAGCGAGAGAGGGAACACAAGCAGGGGGAGTGGGAGAGGAAGAAGCATGCTTCCCGCAGAGCAGAGATCCTGATGCGGGGCTCGATCCCAGGACCCTGGGATCATGACCTGAGCCGAAGGCAGACGCTTAACCAGTTGACTGAGCCACCCAGGCGCCCCGGGGTTTTTTCCTTTTTGACATAATTGCATTCTTTCTGAATGTTCAGATTTCATCACATTTGGCCAGTGGGAGATCCCTTTAAACCAGTTTGATTGACCTTTGAAACACCCGTTAGTCTTCTTTGCTTTCTGTAACAAACTGCCCCAGTCCCAACTTAGATTTTGGGAACGACGATTCCTTTCTCTAAGGAGCCCTGGCCCCTTTAGAGGTCAAGATCCGGGTGCTATAGCTCAGTCTTAGTTAAGTGTCTGCTTTCGGCTCAGGTCATGGTCCCAGGGTCCTGGGATAGAGTCCCGCTTCGGGCTCCCTGTTCAGCGAGAAGCCTGCTTCTCCCTCTCCCACTCCCCCTGCTTGTGTTCCCTCTCTCACTCTCTATCAAATAATACATTTTTTTGAATTAAAAAAAGATTTTATTTATTTCAGAGAGAGAGTTCAAGCAAGAGCACAAGCAGAGGGGAGAGAGAGAAGCAGACTCCCCACTGAGCAGGGAGCCCGACGTGAGGCTGGATCCCAGGACCCTGGGACCATGACCTGAGCCGAAGGCAGACACTTAACTAAGACTGAGCCACCCAGGCGCCCTGGAAGTTTTTTTTTGAATCATGAGTTGATACTGGTATTTCCAATACAAATTTAACATTAGAGAATTTTCTTAATTTCTTAGATTTTATTCATCTCTTTCCTCTTATTTTTTTGTGTTTCCTTCCTTTCTTCATAAAAGGCATATTACTGCAGTGTTCTGCACCTTGCCCTTTTCATTTTATCTCTCCTCAAGATCACTCCAAATCTGTCCATGGAGATCTTCCTCATTCTTTTTTCTGGCTCGACAGGCCTTTTTCTTTTCTTTTTTTTTTAAGATTTTATTTATTTATTTGACAGAGACACAGCGAGAGAGGGAACACAAGCAGGGGGGGTGGGAGAGGGAGAAGCAGGCTTCCCGCGGAGCAGGGAGCCCGATGTGGGGCTCGATCCCAGGACTCTGGGATCATGACCTGAGCCGAAGGCAGATGCTTAACGACTGAGCCACCCAGGTGCCCCTGGCCTTTTTCTTTTTTAATTAAAATTTTTTTTTTTTTAGACAAGTAGGCTCCATGCCCAATGTGGGGTTTCAACTCATGACCCTGAGATTAAGAGTAACATGCTCTACTGACTGAGCTGGCCAGGTGCCCCTAGTTTTTTAAGATTTTATTTATTTATTTATTTTAGAGAGAGATAGAGCTCGAGGGGTGGGGGACAAGGGAGACGGAGGGAGAATCTGAAGCAGACTCCACGCCGATGTGGAGACTGACGTGGGGCTCGATCTCACGACCGAGATCATGACCTGAGCCAAAATCAAGACTCAGACGCTCAACCGACTGAGCCACCCAGGCACCCCTAACTTTTAACAGATTTTATTTATTTATTTAAATATTTTATGTATTTATTTGACAGAGAGAGACAGCCAGAGAGAGAACACAAGCAGGGGGAGTGGGAGAGAGAGAAGCAGGCTTCCCGCGGAGCAGGGAGCCCGATGCGGGGCTTGATCCCAGGACCCTGCGATCATGACCTGAGCCGAAAGCAGACGCTTAATGACTGAGCCACCCAGGCGCCCCAACAGATCTTATTTTTTAAAGATTTTATTTATTTGAGAGAGACAGTAGGAGAGTGGGGAGTGAGGAGCAGAGGGAGAAGCAGACTTCCCACTGAGCAGGGAGCCTGATGTGGGACTTGATCCCGGGACTCCGCCACCCAGGCGCCCCCAGAGATTTTAAACATATACAAAATTAGAGGGGATAATGAACCTTCCTGTGCCCATGACTGAGCCTCAGCAATTGCCAATGTGTGGACGATCTACAGGAGGAAGCTGGGAGGGCGGGGCGGAGCGCGGGGCACGAGGGTCGGGAGCTTTCAGTCCAGTGACCAAGGGGGCGAAAACCACCTCTCCTTCCATCCCTCTGTTCCTCCAATCAGCTGGGCGCTTGGGCCACAGCCTGGATGACCACTCTCTCTCCACTCACAAGGAGAACCAGGAGACCTGAGTGGTCTCAGCCCTGCAACGTGTAGGCAGAAGTTACAAGGCACGGAGAAGGGAGTGAGGAACGCCCGGGGGAGTCTGGGAGGGAAAGCCTGAGCTGCATCTGGAAGTGCCGCAGGTGCCCGGGGGGAGGGGGGGAGACGGGTAGAGGGCGGGCGGTAGAGAAGACCTGGAGGCCGGGAGGCTGGCAGTGGCGAGACTGTTGGCAGCCTTGCATTGCCACACTGAAGGGGGGGGACTCTTGGGTGGAAAGCAGGGGACCATGTGACCTGGTGAGAGCCCCGTGGTGAGGGGGGTGTAGGATGAGGCCAGATGGGGCTTGGATGGGAGTGGGGAGGCTGGGGCAACATACAGACGAGGTCGGAGCAAACTGCCATGAGACGGATGAGGGCCGGAACTAAGCAGGAAGGATGGTGGCGGGGAAGGGGCTTCCCAAGGGGCCCATGTGATGTGGGGACAGCACAGGATCCCGGGTATGGAGCTGTTGGCCCGGGATGGATTCTGAGGTCATCACCCAAGGTTAGAACTCTAGGAAGAGGGCAGGGATGCCTGGGTGGCTGGGACAGAGTTCAATTTGTCCAGACTGAGTTCTTTGTGAGCAGGGGCCAACCAGGCAGAAATCACTTAGGTCCCTAGTGCCTGCAACATCCAGTCTCCACAGAAAGGAACTGGTAATTTGACCCCACGCTACCCTCAGTGGGACTAAGGTGGACAGGAACTAATCCTGTCTTACAGAAGAGTAAAGTCAAGTTCAGAGGGATTTGAGGCCTTGACCCAACTCACAAGGCTTCTGAGGGGAACAGCATGGCCACCTGGGGGCTGCCCAACTCATCGGGTGAGTGGTCATTACTGCTTGGGGGCAGGGCAGGGGGTGCCCAGAGGATAGCCAAGGGCCATGACCCTGGCCAGTCTTATCAGCTGTGGAGGCTGCTTCTCTCCTTGGTCTAAATGAAGGAACTGGATGGGCCAGCAACAAACAGTTGTACTTCACATTTATACAGCTCTTATATAAATCAGTTCATGGACGCCTCACAGTTGCCTTAGGAAGCTTTATTCCGGGGATCCGACAGGGAAGCCTCACAGAGATAAGGGCCCAGGACACACAACTAAAACACAACTTGTTTAAGCCAGGATCCAGAGCAGAGGTGCTGGGTGTATGCCGGCCACTCCCACGGCCCCGCACGGCCTCCCACACAAGCCCCGGTGCCCTTGCACTACGGAGGGGCCTCCGCTGGAGGTCGCAGCTCCTCTCCAGGGTTGCTAAGTCCCATCAAAGGAGGGGAGGGTGACCACTGACCTCTCTCAGCGCCCGTGTGTGGAGGGGGGCGAGGGGGGAAGGGATGCCCGTGGGTCAACAATGATTTTGGGGATGGGGGCAGGATCATCCTACTCCTCTGGCGATGCAGCAGTTACCAGATGTCATCTTAGCACCTCCTTCCTAACCCTCCGCCCGTGCCACCGAAGCAACACGGCTCTTCACAGCCCGGCTTCCCTCTCTGACACGGAGCCCTTCCGCGGGCCTGGAGAGTGGCCAAGGAGCAAGGAAGGCGAGTGAATTCCCTCCGGACTCTTGGGCCAACAGCGGCTGGGAAATTCGGTTTTGGTTTTAAGGGGGACCCAGCGGCCGCAGGCACTGCCCAGGCACTGCTGTGGGGCAGAGATAACAGGCACAGGAAAGGTGGGGTGGCAGGAGCCTGCCAAGAGCCTGGCTTCCACGTAAACAATGAGCTGCCGCCGGCCGGGGCAGGAGGTGATTCATGCCGCACACCGCGGGGAGCCTGCTGGCCGCGCTCGCTGGACACTGAGGCACCGGGGCAGCCCTGGCCAGGCGCTCAGGCCTCCCGGGCTCCCTGCATGGGCTGGGGATCCAACTCAGGCCTTCTGGTAACTGGCTTGACTTCAAAAGCTGGGGTGTGTCTAAAAAGTGGTTGGGGAGGGCTCAACGCCCCCCGAGGCCTCGGCTCTTGTCTGAGAACTGGCTGGGTTTCAGGGTCAGGGCAGCGCAGAGCGGGAACGGCCCCCCCCCCGCCCCGACTGTCTGGACTCCCGCCTGCCCGCGCCGAGAGGCAGACGCTGGGAATGACCACGGCAACTTCCTGGGCCACCCCCACAGACTAGTGCCACGGGCTTCGGCTGCTCTACTACCAACCTTGAGGTAGCCACCCCAACAAGAGGAGCTGGAGAGAGCACTCGGAACTTCCACTTCTGCCTCAAAACAGACCACAGAAGAGGCCCGTGCAGCCAAGAGGCCCCAGATGTGAGAATATGGCGCTTCTGAGAGGGCACCGGACTCCTCTGTGGACACTGTCCACAGCAGCCGCCGCCTCTGTGGCAATGTCCCCTTCCTGGCTGGGCTGCCACACAGAGGCTTCTCGTGGGGTGGAATCTGGGAGCAGATCCCAGTCCTGAAGTCAACAAGGCGGCACCTCGGCACCGACGTCGGTCGCCGGGTTGCACAGTCTCCTCAGGTCCTGCAGAGGCAGCTCCCCTCGGAGAACGTCTGAGCCACCCCAAGCTGGGCCCTCACGTCACTGCTTGGCCTTTTTCACGATGGTGCCCACGGCGGAGATGACCGTGGTCTTGGAGCCACTGGCACTGGTGGTCACTGTGACGACAGCGGGCAGGGTGGCCGTGGTGGTGAGGATGGTGGGCTGGGCTATCGTCGTCACTGGGATGGCCGAGTCCCACTTGCTCTTCCTCTTCTGGGCATCTGGAACAAGGCGAGGGAGGTGTTAGGACCAAGACAAACCGAATGGCAACACTCCCTTCTCTAGCAGGGCCCGCGGTCAGAGTCTGGGGGCCCAGCCACAGAAATGTGAGGGGCAGCCAGTGAATGGGGGACCGCAGCCCAGGCTCCCAAGAGGCCTTAACAAGCTCAGGGGTCAGGACAAAGCACAGCAAGGTGGAGCCTAGGCCCAGATCCCCAAACAAGGCAGGGAAACCCTCGCTCCGTCCATGGTGCGGCTGGAAGCGGACAAGCTGCCTTCTACCTGCCACCGCTGTGCTGGCCGTGGTGGTGGTAGTGGCTGTGGCGTTGGTCGTGGTACCTTTCTTGGTGCCCGTCACAAACTCGATCTGGAGGGACAGAGAAAAGAGGTAAGGGCGGTGCCCAACTGTTTATCCACGTCCTTCTGCTGGCTTACTACCTTTTTTTTTAAGCTCCGGGGGAGAGGGAGAGAGAGAGTCTCAAGCAGGTGCCACACCCAGCATGGAGCCGACTTGGGGCTCGATCTCACAACCCTAAGATCCGGACCTGAGCCAAAATCAAGAGTTGGATGTTTAACTGACTGAGCCACCCAGGGGACCCTTTTATTTTTTAGGAGTGGGGAGGGGCAGAGGAAGACGGAGAGAGAGGACCTATTTTTACTACTTTGAGGAGACTCTTCCTTTTTTTTTTTTTTTTTTTAAGATTTTATCTATTTTTTTTTAAAGATTTTATTTATTTATTTGAGAGAGAGAATGAGAGATAGAGAGCACGAGAGGGAAGAGGGTCAGAGGGAGAAGCAGACTCCCCGCTGAGCAGGGAGCCCGATGCGGGACTCGATCCCGGGACTCCAGGATCATGACCTGAGCCGAAGGCAGTCGCTTAACCAACTGAGCCACCCAGGCGCCCAAGATTTTATCTATATATCTGACAGAGAGTGAGATAGAGAGCGAGCACAAGCAGGGGGAGCGGCAGGCAGAGGGAGAAGTGGGGCTCGATCCCAGGACCCTCAGATCTTGACCAGAGCCAAAGGTCATGGTCTGACTTAACCGACTGAGCCACCCAGGCGCTCCGAGGAGAGCCTTCCAAACAGACAGAGGAATGCTCCCGGTGTCACCAAGTTTCTGCACATGCAGGGCAAACCAACTTGCTGCCCTGCCTCACATTCTGGCTAGAGGTGGACCCACCCGCACAGAAGCACAGCTTTGGTTCCCGGGTGCTGCAGACATGGCCCACACTAAGCCTGGGGTTTGGAATGGGGAGGGCAAGGGCCAGAACGGACATTCCACCAGCACTACGAATGAGAAAACCTCATCACCCCAGCAGCCGCTCGGAGAGCTGCCAGCACACCAGGGCTGCAGCCCCTGCCTGGGGGTCGGGAGGCATCCTGGAGGCTCAGCTGGTGCCCTGAGGACATTTAGTCTCAGAGCCAAATTTCTGTTCCCCAAAGGATTCAGACCGTGCTGCCTGGGAAGAAGTGGTGCTCAGGGCCCTAAAATAAGGGGTCACCTGGCCACTGGACATGGGACCTACAAGGAGGCACTGAGGCGAACTGCGGACATCAGATCTGGAGGCCAGGAAAGTGCTCTCAGAAGGAAGACCTGCCAGTCTATCAGGCCGGGGAGGACCGGGACGCCAGCAGCGAGAGCCAGCAGGGCGCAGCGGGTGTGAGGGGAGCAGGGGGAGGGTACAGCGCAGCAAACAAGACCCCAGGAAACCGAATGAAGCACCCGAGAGGCACCCTCAGGCTGAAGGTGAGGGCTGGGCAACGACACTGCACATACCTGCCCCTCCCACCAGAACATTCATCCGTCACTTACTTTGGTTCGTTCCTTTTTGGCCTTTTCCAATTTGTCCATTTCAATCTTCTGGGCTTTAGCTACAAAGACAAGGGAAGATCTGAGAAAAGCAGCCCTGGAACAGCCCCCACGTGAAGGGCCACTTCAGGCTGAGGGACCCCACACCAGCACTTGCCGTGTCCCCTGTGCTCTTGCCCAGTGCACACAGGTAGCCTCCAGGCCACGGGACTCACTGTCCTTTTGTGATGGAGAAATGGAAGTGCCGGCCCTCGGCCAGCATCGAGCAGAGGCCTCACACTGGAAGGCTCAGGGGCTGGGGCTGTGCACCCTTGTGTGGAGCGGCCGGCTGCTCCTGAGCACCAGCTGACTGTCGCCACGTGGGGATGCAGGCCACGTGTGGACGGCCTGCCCGCTGACCGAGGGAAGCCGGGACTACAGATTTGAGGTAAAATGTTGGCAACTCGTTCAAATTAAAGCAAAACTTGTGCGGGCCAAACAAAACACACCTACAGGCCAGATCTGTTCCATGGGCTGCTGGGTTAAGATCTGTCAGCGGAGGGCTTGGACTCTGAAATTCCTCCCAGTTCTCCCTATGAGCGACCCTTGAGAAAATGCTTTCTCACTGGCTTCAGGACACGCTGTCCCCCCACCTGGGACGCTCTCTCTGCACCTTCGAACCTTAGCCTGTACAGGACTTCTTTGGCAAGGCTGTCCCCCCTTCCGGCCCCCTTCAGCTGGGTAGGGGACCCTGCCTGCACCCCCACCACACCCCTCACTGCTGGGACTGCTCCTTCTTTGCCTTCTGTGCCAGGTCATAAGCCTCCTAAGTCACAGTGGGTCTGTCTCGTTCAAGGCTGTATACCCACCTCCTCAGACATGGCCTGACACAGAGGAAACCCTGAGATACATGTTGGCTGGCTGACTGAACAGAAAGAAGGACAGACAGATGGACGGCTACCTACCTAATGCCTCATAGTAGGAGTCCTCAGACCAGCCGTGGGGGTCAAACATATCCTGCAAAAGGAAGTTAACTGCAGCCAGCAAGGGTCATTGGATGACAAATGGCTTAGAAACCCAAGTCCCTTCTCCCCAAGTCTTTCCATGGATTTTTCCTGGCCTGGAGGCCCCTGCCTTAAGGGCACAGGGGCTCAGCTGTTATCCCTGGTCTCCAGCCACGGGGGTGGCGATCTGCTCCTGGGAATATGAGGCGGTGATGCGTCTGTCTGTGGGCTGTGCTGCAGGAGCCCAGCGAGTGCACACTTAGGCCCTAACCAATCAGGGCCCCGGGGCCAGGTCTGTCACTGCAATCTCTCTCCTGGACTATTTCAGAGCCACGGGGGCTCATGCAGGGGAGCCGGGGACTGAGCTCTTCAGCTAGCACTACTGCTACACGGGCCTTTCAGTGGCTCCAGGCCGAATCCAGCAGAGTGAGCACAGGGCCCTGGGCAGCCCCCCTCAACCCTCTGCCTCTGTGTGCAAGGCATACCTTCGGGTAGTTGGTGCCCAGCTCATCGATTGCACAGAACTGGATCAGCTTCTCGTAGATACTGAAAGAAGAACAGCAGAAGGCATTGAGCAGGCCCTAGTCCCATGCCTTGTGTGGCAGCAGATTTTGAGAGATCGTAACTGTCTAGTTCCGGGGCTCAGACGAACCCTTTAAACCATCTGAACTGTTCCAAGCAAGCTTTCTGATAGAAGAGGAAACGTTCGCTGGCCTGACATTAAGTCATTCCTAGTCCTCCCCACTCCCAGAGAGATGGATCATTAGCCAGGCGCCAGGACAGGTATGGTGTCCAGGTGACGGCTGCGTTTTTTTGGTCTTATCCAGACAGCTGACCTACAGTTTGTGGGGCTGGGTTGGAGCTACCATACACAGGGCCACATAAGGGCTGGGGCAGGTCCCTGATGTCACCATACTGGACTCTTTACCACGTGTGCCACCTGCTCGGGCCTTGGATGGAATAAAACCTGGACACAGCTCTGTTCCTAAAACCTGTCACCTGCATGCAGCATCAGTGACAGTTTGGAGGGGAAAGAGGAACCCACAGGGACTGTCTAGTCCAATTCCCTCACTGTGGAGATGAGGAGACTGAGGCCTCGTGCGGCTGTATGCCTTAGGAGCAGAGCGAGGAGGAGAACCTAGCTCAGGCCTCTCGGCGTCCACTCTTCATCGTGGTTTCTGTGTTACTGCAGTCTGGGTGGTGGCCCCTTTGGGCACAGGTGGGATCTTAGCTGGGCTTCTCCTTGCCACCTCCACGGGGGCATTCCAGTCCCTAGGCCAACATCAGTGACTCAACTGACCCTGTAGGCCCATGGGAAACTCACCTGGGGTTCCGAAATTCTTTTTTCCTTTGGATAATGTAGTTCATATCCATTCCTTCCTTTACCTTCCGCTCATAAAGCTTCTGGATCTTGTCCTATGGAAGAGAAACAGAAGGGCGCTTATGACACCGCCCAACCTACTGGCAATCCCAGCCTGTGGTCACATGTGCTGGGTGGACACTTGGACCCAGGAGACCCACAGAGCCACGCAAAGCCCTACTCCAGCCATACTGTCTTTCTCCACCCAGCCTGTGACCAGCGCTGAGCACAGATAAAATAAACCGAGACCAGTCTGTTTTCATTTTGCTTTCTCCTGACTCCCTCTAGATGGCTGGCAGAGGGAACAGTAAAAAGGTCAAGGCAGAGAAACCATGGAGAAGACAATGGATGAATCCCGCCCCCCCCATCAATCGGCTCCTGATTCATCCGAAGAGGATGGGCAGGGGGGGCTCAATGATGGTTTTGAATTTTAACACGGGGTTAAGTCCTCAGTGGGAGACCTGGGAAGGCTACGTCCTTTCAGCGGAAGGAAGGAGTAGTGTTTTTTGGATTTGGCCTCACAAACTTCCCAAAGTGTCCTTTGTAGGGAGGCTCACAGATGGCCAGCCCCCATGACAGAGGCACTGTCAGGGGTCAAGAGCCCATCTCATTAAAACTCCCCCACCAGACCCCTCCTCTGGCTTTTGATGGGCAACAGGAGAACCACCTGGCAGAGATCCAGGCCAGTCCCACAGGTGTCTCAAGGCCCACAGAGAGGAGGCCGGCAGCAGTTGGCAGCCGTACCACCCAGCGCGGGAAGAGGCCCCAGAAACCCGAGTGTCAGGGCAGAGTCACCTCTGAGGAGGAGCAGTCTTACCCAGCAAGGCTGGGGCTGGCCCAGGGCAAGGTCTCTCTGCAGCCTCCCCCACTAGTGGTGGCTAAATGCACAGACTCTCCAGAAGGAAAATATTTGGGGTACTCTTCACCTGCAAGAGGAGGTGGGCAGGGCTGGAGGTCCTGTGTGACGCCCTTGGGGTACATCAGGAGAGGTGATCCACTCCCTTTGTCAGAAGGCTGAATCTTTCTGCCGAGACTGGCCAGAGGCAGCACTGAAGTGCAGAGAGAGGTTTGTAATACATTTACCAGGGAAGAGACGACCAAGAGTGACAAACCTCAACGTTTATCTCTTCAAGGGCAAAGTAGGGAGGCCTCACACAGAAGGCTCAGGAAATTGAGGCCGACCTGTATCTTACAGATTACTTTCCTGGGTTTCTTGGGCCATCAGATGGGTTCTCCCATTTCAGGTCAACTAAAGTGTTCACTTAAGGTCATGGTTTCTACCATTAGGAAGATCTAAAAATGAGAAATACACTAAACTTGAAGGCTGAGCCAGCTGGTTGTCTCTGTCTGGCAGACTGCTGGACTGTCCCTACAGGCTGTGGCTTGTTGCCTGGCGGGGAGATGAGGCACTATGCTCATGGACAACTCAGCCAAGGGAGGAGACTTCTGGGAAAGGAAGAGCATCTGCACTGTGCCCCCAGCCCCGACTCTGGCCCTGCCCAGCCAGCTGCATTCCACAGCCCCGGGTCCCTTTAGTCATCCATCTGTTAGGATGGTGCCCTGGGCCTGTGTGCAGCCAGAGGTGCCAGCAGAACCTATGGGATCAAAGGCAGAGCGGGTGGACCGGATGCCCGCAATGGGCAGCCCCGGGTGTCTGCCCTTATGTCCGTCACGAGGTTCCACATACAGGGGAACCCGCAGAGGGCCAAGGAGAAACAATCGCAGGTGCCGAAAAGGAGGTGCAAGGCCCAGCTGCCCCCCGGAGGTCCTGCTCCCAAGGGAGTAACTGCACTAAATGCTCCAACTCCTTGGAATTTCAAAACCTCAGGCCAGGTCTGTATGCGATTCTGTCAGGAGAGGAGGACAGGACTCTTAGGCACATCAACGCTTGTGTTTTTGCATTTCTATAATCTATTTTCCATTCTCACGGTCCCTCGGTTTCTTAGGAAAGTTCCCCATTGGTTCGGCTGGGTCGCACAGAAAATGGCGGTATTTTCTCCGTCTAGGCTTAGGACCCCACTGAGGGCAAGCTGGGGTCCCACTGGAATAGCACCAGGAGATGTGGCAGAGGGCAGTGGGCTCAGAGCAAACTCCTGACGAAGGCTAAGACAGGTAACCAGGACGTGCGGGCACCTGCCCGCCTGGCTGTCTCTCCTACAGAAGGCTATTAAAGTCAGACCAAACCGGACACCTGAGCAGCCATTCTCCCCGACACGGGCCGCTGTGGCCGAGCTCCGCACTTACTTGTAAGTGGTTCGAACACCTGCCAGGGGGCTCGGGCGGGATCTTGATTTCATCGGGTGACATGTTCCGGACTCTTTCAGAAAAGGAGGCTGTGAGAGAACAGAGAGAATTCCTGTGGATGTATGTCGGGGGTGGGGGTGGGGGTGGGTAGGATGGGGCTAAACATGGTTAGGGAAAGAAAAGGCACATAAGACCTTTTCAGGGAGAGAGAAAGGCTATGAAACAGTACAACGGTGTTCAGAGTGGCTCCTCTGTCATCTGAGTTGAGATCGAATGACCAGAAGGAGTCAGCCATGTGCCGACTCACGGGAAGAGAAGTTCAGGCAGAGGGGACAGGTGTCAAGAATGTGCGCTACCATGTCCCAGCAGTGAACTTTTCAGGAAAGGGTCTGTCCAGGGTGTGCTGGTGAATGTCTAACAACCTGCTGGGGGAGGAAGGGAGGAGAAGCTTTGATCTGCAGCATCTGCCAGTTTCTGGGGTATCAGCTGATGCTCCTGTTGCTGGACCCAGGCACAGGAAGAGAGGGGAGCACCACCGGCTGACAAGGGGAGCCAGCTCCAGTTCCCCACTGGCTATGTTCCTACAACACCCTCCCAGAATTCTGGAAGCTCTTGCCCAAGATAGAGGAGAGGGAGTTCAGAGTTCCTCTAGGACTCAAAACATTAAAAACTGCCTTGTGCATAAATGATGCTTTAAAAAACTACCTGTTGGTTATTAGCTTAGTCCTTTAAAAATAAACCAATCAACCCTCCTTTGGTCCACCTCATTCTTGGGAACAAAAGGCCTGATTCTGATGTGAAGAACCACAACTCCCAAGGGCTAATTCCCCTGGAGATCTGCCACCGCCCACCCAAGTTGCCTGCTCGCTCTGCTCTCCTCCCTGTAGCCTCTGGCCACCCTGGGCCTGCAGAGCGTGCTCTGGATCGCTCAGACAATGCACTGCTTGTTTTAAGAGTCTGCCTGTACTCTTTAAAACATTCTCTCATGAAAAGGACCATACAGTGAGCAAACAGCAGACGGAGTGGGGTGGGGCAGGATGAAGGGAAAGAATGAACAAACCAGCACCAATAACACTCAGCAAGTACTTACTGGGTACCCACTGTGTGCCAGGCCCTGGGAAGACGATTTTTTAGCCCTGAGTAGCTGCCTGGACTGGCTGCTGATAACCTAGCACAGCCTTTGCCTTCTTCTCTCCCAGCGCTGGGTTAATATTTTCTTAGCAGATAAGGTACTTGGATCTCCACTCAGAGTTTCACTATTACTATGAAGAACTCAGTGCTGAGCAGGGCTGAGGGGATGGCTCCGTGGGCTTTGACAGTCTCAATTGCTGCAAAACATGCCTGCACACACTGCAAAGCCCGAGGCTGGGGCAGAGTCCCAGCCTGCTACACGTGCCAACTCCCATGGTCGGCAGCGGGTTCTCACTGGATGTGTCCTGACAACACCAGACCGGCCATTTTGGGTGAGGGAAAGAGGACAGAGATGGAGTGACCTATCCTGCTGTGGACCCGGGACATCAGTGCAGCCCAGGAGCAGTTTCCACCAGGGGACTACGTGCTCCTCTTTGCCCGGTCCCTTCCTTCCGTCTAGTGACTCTTGAAGCAATGGCAGAACCCAGATCTGGCTGGAGTTCAAGTCTCATCCCAGCTTCCCCCTTCTTTTCAGCCCTGGGGTTCTCAGCCAGAGGCTCAAGCAGGCTGCAGAGGCCAGATGAAAGTGGAATTGGTCGGGGTGAGCTGGTCCTCATTATTTCAGGAAGGCAAAAGCAAGGAGGGCCCAGGCAGGCTTTGGGCAAAAGTGAGGACGGTGAAGCTCTTCCCTGGGGTGGAGTGTGTGTGTCTGTGGTGTGTGTGTGTGTGTGCGCGTGTGTGCGCGCAAAAGCGAGGACGGTGAAGCTCTTCCCTGGGGTGGAGTGTGTGTGTGTGTGTGGTGTGTGTGTGTGTGTGTGTGCAAAAGCGAGGACGGTGAAGCTCTTCCCTGGGGTGGAGTGTGTGTGTGTGCGCGCGCGCAAAAGCGAGGACGGTGAAGCTCTTCCCTGGGGTGGAGTGTGTGTGTGTGTGTGTGTGTGTGCGCGCGTGCAAGCGCGCAGGACAGGGAGACAAAGAATGCCCTTTGGCATTTGCCGGGAAAGCCTTTTGGAAAAACAGGGTGTGACACCGCTGCCATAGCAACCTAACCACACTAAGTCTCAAGTGGTGTATAGTATGACAGGGAGGGAGAGCCCCTCCTGAGCTCCCAGGTTAGGAACAAAAGAATTCCTATGAAGTAACTGGCAAGTGAAGGGACAGTCAGAAAATGAGGTAAAAAATTTTCGACAGCTTCCAGGAGCAATCTTTCAGTGATTCTCTTTCCTAAGTCCCAGCATGATTTGAAGTAGAAGACATCAAACCCACAAATATGGTATTTGTGCAGCCACAAAGCCTCAAACCATTTTCCCAGGAAATCCATCGAGAAATGTGTCCAGGCACTTGGGGCAGCTCCAGGTACCGTGGCTGCTCCTGGGTGTGTGCTGGGGGCATTCTAGAAGGGCAGCCGTACTCAGGATCTGAGAAGTGTACCTCGGTGATTCACCCCCGTGCTCACCCAAGCGAGGAAACAGTCATGGTATCCATAGCTGCCAGGTATGAATCTGAGCAGGAGCAGCTCTGGGCTTACGTAATGGTGGGGAGTAAGGAGTGCCTGGGGGTTACTGTGGGGCTGGGAGCGGGAAGCAGTGGAGAGCTCTCTAGTTCACCAGAGACATGGAGAACCCAGCTGGATTACCACCCCAGGCCGTTGTTCCAGGCATGACCACAGGGCATCAGTGGGGCATCTGGAGGGCATGCGTGCTCAGCTCTGCAAAGCCGCCACGGTGCTGGAGAGACCTGTGAGTTAGCTTCTCTGCTTTCATTTGCTCCATTAAACCTGGGGCTATCTACACATATGAAAATCCTTCCCATATTGGGGGAACAACCCGAGAGTCCTATCTCCAGAGGTATTAACGAAAAGGAGTTGAGTGCAGATAGAGCTCAACTATGACCTCATCAGTGAGAAATGGTAGGAGGAACCAAGACTATGAGGCTTCAATACCTACTGTGGTGAATGGAGAAAGAAACTACGGGGGTAACCCTACAGTGAAAGAATATACTTAGCAGTCAAATGAAACTATAGATATGCGCAGTAACAAGGAAGGATCTCAAATGGTAAGTGAAAGAAGCCAAACAAAAAACAAGATGGTCATGTCATTTCATTTCTATCTATGGTTCTCAACGGGGGGCAATTACCTCTCCCAGCCCCCAAGGGGATGTTTGGCAATGTCTAGAAACATTTTTCCCTGTCACATCTGGCAGGGGGAGGGGAGCGCTAAGGGCATCCTGAAGACTGAGGATGCTAAAACATGGTGTCAAACACAGGCCAGGCCCCCACGACAAGGAATTCTCTCCAGCCCAAAATGTCAAGAGTGCCAAGGCTGAGAAATACGGCTCTTTAGGAAATTCTAAAAAAGGCCAAACTATAGTGAAGAAAGGAGATCACTGCTTGCCCGAGGCCAAGGGAGGAAACAGTCTGCAAGGAGAGGGGTATAGGGGATATTTTGGAGTGATGGAAAAGTTTTTTCTTTTTTTTTAAACATTTATTCATTTTTAAGTTAGCTCTAGGCCCAATGTGGGGCCTGAACTCGTGACCCCAAGATCAAGAGTCGCATGCTCCACCAACCGAGCCGGCCGGCGCCCCTGGAGTGACAGCAGTGTTTTATACTGTGCTTGGGATCGGGGTTAACACTGACTCTATGTATCTGCCAGAGCTCATCAGATGGCACAAAGTGGCAAGGAGAGAGCAGGTGGAAGTTGGGGGAGGAAGAAGTCGGGGTGGAGATGGCTGATGTGCCCCCCACACCGCTGCTTGCCGGACACCACGGTCTCGAGCAGAGCATTGGGCTCCCAGGCAGGCTGTTTTCAGACCCCACAACCCCACCCCTACCCCCAGTTTCTTGGGGGTATACAGCAGGGGCTGGTGAGGCGGGGAGAGCACAGGAGACTGAGGCCCCGGTCCACACCTGCCCCCGTGGGTTACCCACTTGCAGGAGGCCGCGCTTGGCTTCCTCCGTCGGCAAAGCCAATGGGTGCGTCCCCTGAGGGCTGTTTTCTAAGGAGTGAACACGAAGGTCTAGGAGAATTCTGGTTTTTATAGGATTTGAAAGACCTACACTCAGGGATAAAGGCAGAATCCCACTGAGGGTCTGGGCTGGTCATCGTGGTACGTTCCTACCCAAGCCTTCCTCAGAAAACAAATGTAATGGAACAAATTTTAGTTCTTTTAGTTAGGAAAACCAGAACGGGTCCCCACCTCCCATACCTCATGAAAGGATCTTGTCCAAAAACAGGACAGATCCAAGGGGCTGCAAGCTACAAAGACTCCATCTGGACGCGCAGGAGTAGCTTCTGTAGGCCGCATTCGTAGCAGCCCCAGGTAAGCAGGACCCTCGCTTTGGGAAGGTTAACGGAGCAGGCAGGGAAAGATGGTCACAGCTGTCACAGAGAGGGACGGCCACCCCGTCCATGGGGTTAGGGCAGGCTTTGGAAAAGCTGTTACAAAGTCCACAACCAAACTGACAGAGTTGAGGGACTTTCTAAAAAGGATTAGGAGGCTGGGGTTAGCACGGAACTGGGATGACATGGGCGCCATTTTTCAGAAACATAACTGCCCTGCCCTCCCAAGTCATATAGGGTCCTAGACTCTGGGGCTATGAGGCATGTTCTCTCCTGGGGACAGAGCGAAGTGCCAGCAGAGGCCACATTTGCTCAGTGAGTACCCGAATATGCCAGCAAAGCGGGGCGGGGGCGTACAAGGACAGAGGACAGGCCTAGGGCACAAGGGGAACGATCTCCCAGCTGAAGGAGGCCCGAACTCCATCCTGACAACATTGGCAACCGACCAAAGCCCAATGAAATGCACCATGAACATGACTTTCAAAGAAGAATTGTTCCCTGGGTGTCTTACTCAGACGTCTTAGGAAATGCCAAAGGCCCCCGAGAGAGCACATGAAGAGAAGGCTCTCAGGAGAACAGCGGTCTTGGCTGAAGCAGAGAGAAGCCCCATGCAGTGGCAGGCCCAGGCGTGGCGGGAAGCCAGTTCCCTCTGGGCAAGCCTCAGACATCTGCCCCTGAGACCCCCCCCTGGGGTACTTACCAACTAATTCCTGAGGATCTCGCTTTTCTACTTCTGGGTTATCCTGCAAAAGAGAAACAGATACAAGGAAGTAAGCCCGGGACTCCTGACCCGCAGTTCCTCTCTTCACTGAAACCACTCGGGATTTTAAGGGAGGAGAAAAGGTGCAAGCAGCACAAGGAATCTAAGAGCGAGTCGGTGCTTTGGGGGCCTTCTGGGACCCCTGAACCTCCTAAGCCCCCTCTATCATCAGAGCAGCCAAGATGCTCCACATGCCTGCTTCCGTCTCTCCTCCACAGCCTCCAGCAGGGACCAATATCCACCAATGCCAAGGAGAGCAAACGCCAGCCATCCGTCACCTGGACACCTGGACTCTGCCCACCGTCTCCCCTGGGGCCTGGTCAGCCCCGACAATGTCACCCCTACCTGGTACTGAGGAAGCAAGAGCTGGCAACTTTATAACATGAGAATCCCAAGACTAAAGCACAAAAGACTATCTGCTCCCAAGAGATTGTTCTCACTTTCAGTTTAAGCAGAAAAGGGAGACTTTATCATCAGGCGGTAGCTCATGGAACCCTGGAGCGGGCATGTACTGGGCCTTTAATAAGTGACTGACCCAGGCCCCAGAAAGGCCCTGGCACGGTGGCGGCTTCTCTCCTGGGCTCACCTCTCGACTCTTTACATTGGCTTTATCTCTCTCCAAAGACAAAGCTTTCTCTAATCCTTTGCGCAAACTTCCGCCCTACAACACCTACTTCTGCAGGTCCTTCAGGGCTGGCCGAGTGCAGAAACCTAAGAGCAAACGTTTCTTATAAGACGGTTTTCTGGACTCGCTGTTTATTTCACTGCTCAGGGTAAGTGCTTCATCCAAATCCAAACCAAATCCACCTGGAGAAGGCTACGGTCCCAGCCCCCATCACAAGCCTGGGCACAGGAGGTGGGGTGGGGTGGGGTGGGAAGGCCTTCCCTTGCTTGCATTGTCCCAAATGTCCACTGGCAGCAACACACCTGTCTTCCCCATCTCGGGGGAAACCTGGCCCCTCATACACAGTCTGATCAGGGCTCTCAAGTGCCACCACGTGCTAAGGATCAAAGTGGCAGAAGCTGGGCTCACAGGTAGCTATTGGATCTCCTTTCTTTTCCCTGTGGTGGTTGGGGGGGAGGAGACAAGACAGTAACAACTCTGAACAAAATGGGCACACGGCCACAGCTGCAGAGTTCTGCATACTCCACTTACTGAAGAAATGTTACACCAAGTGACGCTTCAGAAAGGAAGGTGCCAGGAGGCCACCAAAAGCCCGCCCTTGCTATGGCTCCCTGCCAAGAGCAGAGTGGTAGTTCTTAACCCCCTTCCCCAAAAAGTCCCTCCTGATTCTGGGACAGGCCCAAACCCCTCACCCTTCTGAACACTGCAGCTATTCATTCGACCTCAACAGGCCTAACGTCCAGGCCAGGCTGCTTAGCAACCTGTCTCCCCCAGCCACCGCCCCCTGCCAATCAGGTGGGCAAAGAGGAGGCAGGCCTGTGCTAGGGAACAGAGGGGTTGGGAGGCATGCCTGGAGGACTGCCATGCCAAATTCAGGTTGGTCATCAATCAGCTGCTCTACAGAGAGTGCCCGTCTCCAGAGGCTCCACAACAATCTCTTTGTAGCAGTGACTCCCGAGGAACCAGTGTTAAAGAGCATGGCAGCAACAAAACCTGGGCCTGTAAAAGGTCCTTAAATATTCCCTGTAGGGGACAGCTTTCTGGGTGCTAACTGTGGGAAAACATCAGTTAGGTACATCCTACCTCCCCTCCCCTGACCAGTTGGCGAGTATTCCAAGGACTGACCGTTAACCATTCAAAGGCCCCCTGGGGGCTCCTTCCCAAAGCACTGGAGGGCACCAGCCCCTCAGCTGGCCCGAGGAAGAAGGCAAGACAGCCATGTGGAATTCCACCGGGTCTACTACTCCAGAGGCACAGGAAGTTAGTCACCAAACACAGTGTCTCTTCTAAAGGGAAAATACTTGTTCACCCGAGGGCTCCTTGGGCAGGGCTAAGGGCTGTGAGCCACCCTGGGGTACCCCCAGCGATGGGAGGGGTCGGGGTAGGAGGGGCGGGGATTCCTGAATTTCACAAGGTCCTCGCCTGGCTTAGCTGAGGATGTTTAGTCACATCTCAGGGAAAACAGCAATGTTGGGGCAAAATCACCAACAGGAAGGTGTTCCCCCTTCTTTCAGTCTCTCCTTTTTTGGCTTGGTTACTCATTCTTTCAAATTAATCTTTCTGCACAAACACAAAAAGTGATAAGGTTGATAGTTGGTTTCAATTTGTCAACTGGTCTACTCTTTGCTTTTTTATTCTTCTAGCAATGCGCGTGCGCACACATGCACATACATGGGTGGGGCGTGTCCAGGGTGTACCTGGAGCCCCATGGAGCCATGGACTCCTACTCAAACCCAAACTCAACATCCCCAGGAAGACCCCCTCCCCTGCAGAGGACTTTAGCTCCGTGATCCCTCCAAGCAAAGTGCCAACCTATGAACCATGGACCCAACTAGAAGTGCAAGAAGATTCCTTTGCCTTAAGAGAATCCTATAAACTGAAAATATAAATGAGCCACCATGGACTGGGAGCCATATAGTTTTGCACAAAGTTCTCCTGGAAAGACTTTGGAATCTGTGGTTGTTCAGAACTCTCCTCCGTGTCACAGGCACCCATGGGACACCTAGGCCCCGACAATGAAACAATGGGAATCTGTGCTCCTGGTGGCCACATCTTGTTAGGTTTTAGAATATACTTCTTCTATCCTCCGATGTGAATAAGCTGGCCTGTGAGCCTGCTGAGCTCCCGGTCAGGATACTCCCAAAGGCGGCCAACAAGCCAGGTTCTTTTGGATCCAAAAGCAGTTTAACCCTACATCCTGCCCTGAGCACAAGGACGCTCAGTTACACCCCACACCGAAGGGCCTGGAACCAAACATCAGTGTTCTTCAAAGGGGGATGAGCCCAAGACTTCAAACAATGCTGAAGAACCATCAGCAAGGAAGGAGAGTTGGGGGGGGTCTGCTGAGATCACAGAGGATGGCTGTCAAATACCCCAAAGATGCTTTTTGGGACCATTTACCCTCAACTGTCCAGCAAGGTAAATTTCATCCAACAAAAGCAGCCTCAGGGGAAGACACTCCGGGGGGCGGAGGTGGTCCACACTCAACACGAAGACCTAGAGAGACACCCTCCTACCAGTCGTGCCTCAGATACCAGGAATTCAGTACAAAATGAACGAATCATCCATGATTGTTATTTTGGAAGACAGCCATAAAAAACATCTGATAAGTATTTAATATGACACAGCTAAGGAGAGAAACGGAAGATTCACATTATTAAACTCCCAGTCGTTCAACACAACGGTTATAAACCCTCCAAAGGTTCTCTTTGTGCCCTTAAGGAGGCTGGAAGGCAGCAGTTAGGAGGATATAAGTAAAAAGCAACAAGAAACCACTGTTCCTTTTCTTCTCCCAAGGTGGTGTTCTAAAATGCGCAGGGGGTCCCTGTCTTGACTTGTATGAATCCATCCCCTTGGCCTCCAGGGGGATATTCTCAGTTGGTCAAAGTCATGAACTCAGCCAGGAGATCTATGTACCAGACAGGTGTCTGAGTCAGCCCGGAGGCACAGAACCCACAGCCCAGAGACTGGGACAGACTGGATGCATGGCCCTCAGATGCAGTAGGCTGAGGGCTTCCCCCGCCAGTTCACTAGGAAGGTGTAAACAAAGCATCTCACTTAGCAGCTCTGAGAAGGAAGGACCAGGTAAACCACTTCAGCTGTGTAGTTCAAGTCTAAAGACACAAAGAAAAACAAAACAAATGCACAGCTTCTGAAGAAGCCAAGTGAGAACACGGGAAAGGCAGGAGAGGGAGTGCTGAGCTGGTCAGAGACACAAACTCTGAAGCAAGGCCTCCCCTCCTGGCTGTCGGCACTCCTCTAACCTCCCCAGGCTCCCCCTGAGCCTAAAGCCTCAGCGACCAGGGCGGCAGGGCACGAAGTGGCAGTGGCAGGCCAGGGGATGGCCCTGACAAACAGTGATCTGAACCTGCCCAATTCTGGTTCCTTAATCAATTGTGTCCGAGACCCGTAAGAATGCAGCAGCCACAACAGGGGCCTCGTTCTCAGGGACTGCAGAACCTGGAATGTGGTTCCCCCTGCAGAGAATACAAAAAAGTCCAGCCACTCAGAAACTATGACTGGAGCAGAGGAAGGAAGTAGAAACAATATGGCTCCATGACGTGGGATAAGCTGCTGGGAGATTTAAGCTGGGAGGATTTGCTCAGCAGAGAAGTACCAGATCCTGGTCAAGAGAATGGAGGTTTATTTAGAGCCAACAATACTTCATCAATCCTTCCCGGAGCCAACCCCACAAAGCACGCTCAAAGCGTCCGGGTAGAGACAAAGCAATGTAGCCTCCAGCAGCTGGATTCTGCCAAATCTAGAAACGTTGCTTCTTTCCCCAGCTTTGGGAGCATTAGGCACAGAGAAAGTACTCTGAACAGAGGGCAGAGGGCAGCCTCTCCCCGCTGCTGGGGGAAGAATGCTACACACTGTACGTTTTCTGATAGATGACTGACACAATCCTGCTTCTTAAAAGTAGGTGGCAGCTGGGGAGGCAGACTGGTAAAACAATGCCTTCCAAATCTTCGATTCTCTCAGGCCTGGGACTGGCCGAGTAGTTATTAAGTCCTGGTGATAGCTCACTTAGAAATGATTGCTCACTGTGGCCCGAGGCCCTGGGGAACTCCGTGCAGGCCATGTCAGCCCCCTCCTCCCAGCACAGAGCTGCACCAGGGCCTGGGGAGAGCTTGCTCCCCGGAACACATCCTCCCCACTCTTGCTGAAAGTAAGCCTCTTTGAGACCTTAGTCCTCAGCTAAGGTCTCCCCACCCCCACCCAGCTGATGAGGACGTTTGCTCTGTTCTGGGCCCTGTCTTAGTTACCACTGTGTTCCTAGCACCTGCAGGTTCGTGCCCTGCCCACAACAGGTGTTCAAACATTGCTCAACACTGATGAAACACACACACACTCTCCTT